TAAACAGAATGGAAAAGAGAGACAAACAAACAAACAAAAAAATTTTTTTTCTGGAAAAACATTTCTTTTTTTTTTATTGTTACTTTTATTTTATTATTTGAACTTCTTTTATGATCTGATTTGCCAGATAGTAACAGTTGTTTTCATTAGAATTTCCAAGCCAAAAAAAAACTGTTAGGGAAAAGCAATAAAAAAAATGGCTGTTATGTTAAAGAAGAAAAAATTGTTGTTGGTATCTTATAGCCAAAACACGTCTGCTGCTCTTTTCACAGAAATATTTTATAAAAATTTGTTAACCTATTTGGAGGCGCTTTCAGAATCTACCTTTTTCTTTTTCTTTTTTTTTATAGCAGTAATTTAGTGATGCTGACAGGCAGTCTATTAAGCTAAGGTTTTATAAATTTTTATGTATCGATGTGATTTCTGATCAATGTATCAAGCAGTTTGCTCGCTGACGAACAGTTACAATAAAATTGTCTGCAGAATAACAGTGGTCTGTTGCTATCAAAGAAATGAAAAATATCGACGTAATCAAAAATATCAGACTATCTTTTTTTGGCAAAAAAAAATTCCAACTTCAGTTTTGCTGTACAACATTAATGCATTCAAATAATGTGCAATTTTTGCGCAGTTGTTGGTTTTACGACCAGCAGTTCTAAAATACTTTTTTTCTTCCTCTTCTTCCCCTTACTCATCTTCTGCCACCCGTTTTCCTCTCACCTTCCTGAACTTCTTTTTCTGTTCTCATACCTCTTCGCTCTCGTCATCCCTCTTTTCCTCCTAAAAGTATAAAAATTGATAGCTTAAAAAACGTTGTTGTTGTTGAACAAACACTACATATGGTAACTGAGATACTCGTACTGAAAACGAAAATGAGGATTTTTGAGAACGTTTCGAGGAAAGCATCAAAAACTGCAATAAACGTTTTACTGCTCTTCATATTAGGCATACCAAATCAGGTTATATGTACCAATAATCAAAAGCGGTTCATCTGTTACTCAGAAAGGTTTTTGAAACAGCATTTTAAAAAAGTCACACGATAACCAGCAATGTGCTGCTTATTGATGTGTGAAAAAAAAGGAGAGGTTTCAGAATGCTACTACAAATAGAAATAAAATGTTGTTGTTTCTTTATTTGTTATGCAACAATAATTCTGGGAAAAATGGTTAGCATGTAGCTTTTTTTTCTCATGTTTAAACTGTGTAGATCAAAATATCACTGCTTGTGCAGCTAACAGTTTCTAAGCAAATTTTTCTGTTTTAGAGAAAAAAATAAAGCGATTCCTCAAAAAGGTTTTAAAATTTAACTGAAGAAGTTTTTTTGTGTATTTGGTAGCATCTTTAAATCAACAGTCGCATCTGATACTGCCAGACTGCGATGATCTGAAATATCTTACACCGAAATTCTGTGCCCACCGTTTCCTGTAGATGTTTGTCTGAACGGGCGATGAGTGGCACAGCGAAAATCGCTAGAATGGAGGACCATGATTTGATATCCAGACAATTTATTTACATAAAACATTGGCTTTCTTACGTTTTTCCTTCCCAAACTTTAAGAATCCTTTTTTTCCCAGGTAAATAATCAACAATAGAAAGGTATCAAAAAGATGTATTAAAGTTTTAAAAAAATCTCTAAATCATTTTAATAGTTTACACAAGTACAAAAACATTGTCGTGTTTATTAGACAGAGACTAAGGAATGCTTTCGTTACGGACCATCACCAAATGCAATTTATACAAAGCTGTTCAAACCGTGTTACCAGAGAATCTGTTCCTCAAAAATTTTGCCAAAAAAGCCTGTTGTGTTCCAAATGCAATTCCCTCATTACATCTTTTACACATTCACTGCTTCTGTGTCTTTAGAAAGTTCCCCTTTTCCTCTACTTCTCCTCTCTCCTTTTCCTTAAAAAAAAATAAGAAACAGATAGGAAATTAGAGCCCTGACTTCTTGAAATTGTTGACGAACTAATTTGTAAATCTGAACTACTGCCGAAAGTCTGTTGGGTATTAACAACAACGACAACAACGACAAGGACGACAGAAACAACGGTGCCAGCGATAATAATACCATCAACAGCAGTACTTCGTCATCTGTCTTGAAACTGGAAGAAAACAAAAGTAAAACAAAAAATAAAAAACAAAAAGAAAAAAAAACCTGAAGGTCCACAAAGTTTGGTCTGATTTATTGCAACAATAAACGACCTATACATTTTCGATGCTGAAAAACGTAACCATCAGCTAGAATAACAAATAAACAGTAAAATTTGTTTTTTTGAATCGAATATGTTAACCAAACTGTTTATTCTACTTTTTTACCTACCTTCAAATGGACAGTCAACGATTACAAAAAACTACAACTGGTTGTAAGTTTTTCTGTATCTTATTTTTTTTTTTTTCAGTTTTTACTTTAATATACCTTTGTTTTTTTTTGGTCGTCATCTAATTCTTGTAGTAGTCGATTTGTCGTCTGTTCTTGGTTGTCATATTGTCGTCTAAATTTACTCGTACGACAGCAATCGGTTATGTAACTGTTCAGTTGCATTGAAAAGCTGATCCATCATAAGCGTTTGCTATTTTTCCGCTGTTAATAGTCAACCTTTTTTTTTCTCTCTTTCTCTTTTTTTTTTTTTGGTCTCTGGCTGCTCTCAAGTTTTCAAACGATGGCGGAGAAGAACTGAATGAAAACCACTGTACCGAACTGTCAGGCCTGAATCCCGAGCAGGTCAAGCTGTGCAAACAGGTTTTATATGTTACTGTATATCAGACATTTTTGGAAGTAAACTCTTCAGTGTTGACAAAATATGTGTAATTCATTTAAGTTATTAATCATTTAACGACATTTGGTTAACTTAAAAATACGTTTTTTCAGTATTTTTTCTAAATAACTTTTGAAACTTGATTTTTGATATTATAGTTTTGTTCAGGTACCATCTTCGTTACAATCAATCGTTTGTGGAGCTCAGGACACAATTTTTCAGTGCCAAAAACAATTTAAAAATGAAAGGTATTGTCATTTCAATTTCAATAACTGCACTGTTTTTTATCTCTTCAAAAGTTCACATACAGCTTCCAAAAAGTTTTTATCAATTTTATTTAACAATATTAAAGATGAGAACTATATTCCTTTGCCAAACGATTTACAGGTGGAACTGTACAGAAAAGACGTTAATAAAGCAGGAAAGACCGCAATTCTATGATCTTCTTGGCACTACTGTTCGTGCAGGTAGAAAAAATTTCTATAATAATTTATGGTGCCTTCAAGATGAAG